TTCCGTTACAAACGAATGAAAGGGTGCCTGAGCAGCCATTTTTCATTTCACGGAAGAATCAGTGTCCATGTAGCCAGCGACGCGCGTTTAATTGCCCTGCTGATTTAATTAGAAATCGCCACGGTATTTTCGGTCGAAGCGTGATAGTAAATACGGCTCGACATTCTGGGAGCAGGGGTGCGCGAGAATGCCTCGGCGTTGTTTTCAGCGCGCGAAAAATTCGCGCTACGCGACGATGAATATCCACCCTAGCGATGGAACCGATCCAATGACGTGCTCGTTAAAACCAATATTGTATACCAAACGCTCTGTTTAGGTGTCAAACAGGTGTCGATGTGAAATCTCGTTGGTATTGGTAAGACGTATTGACATTTCTTGCGGCAACAATACTGTTCGAGCATCATCTATCATTGAGGCCTCGACAACACTGATCTGGCTCGCCTTGTACCGTGATTGAACATTGTAGGAATTATTTTTAGTAAGTGCTTTTTAGTCAGATAATCTTGAAAATAATACATATGTAATATATCTTAATTTCACAGATATAATAAAAAAATTCTCGTTTTATTTGAAAATATATGTATATATATATTTTTATATGCATATCAATCAAAAATTCAAGAATCATTAAACTGCGTCTATTCCTGATCTAAACACGTTTCAGTCCCATCGCTAGGTGCATTCGAAAAATCTGAAATATTCGATTGACGGGAAATATGCGTCGGTGATCGCGAACGCGCGCAAGAATTCACGGCTAATGAAGAATGAAAATTCGCGACTTCCGCGAGCTGGAGTCGCGGTGGCATGCGAAATCATGATTAGGAGAGCGACGATTCGCGACGCGCAATGAAAAATGCCCGTTCCGCGTGACAGTGATAGGAATATATGATTCGAAAAAGGGCGCGTACGCTGGACGTGTCTCCGTGGAATCGAATTAACCCACTTGTGCCTAACGCAAAAATTTGAGACCTTGCGCGAACCAAAAATTCCCAATATTCTGAGAAATTCAATGTGAAACCTTTTGTTCTAATTTTTGAATAATATTCGAATTTTTTAATATTACAAAAGTTACTGCACTAATTATGTTTGACGTTCAGACTGATCGAGTATTATCGCTGTTCTTTTATTTTTCATAAATTGTGGTGTGCAGGTATAAGAAATGACCAGAGTATCAATTTTTATCAGCGCCACGGCTATTACATTTCTGACATCTTGGTATGAGTACATTTTCATCTGTTGTTGACTACACGATGCAGAACGAGCTTCATTTGGCGTTTTATTTTTCGCAGTTAAACATGTAACTGCATTTCGCACTCAACGCTAGACGTATTTTCCAGTGTCAGCTTCATTGTTAATAACGAATGCGATTGGGTAACGGCAAACAAAATTTAGCGGTGTCGCGGCATGTAAAATTAGATTCGCCTATTTATTGCAGTGCTGCAGCACAGTCGTTCCTAACGAAAAAAATGGGAAACGTGTATCGTATTATTATATTTTAAAGAACTATTGCGATTCTTAAAAATATAAATCTAAAAGAAAGTGTACGAGATGAAAGAATGGATTCCAAGTGAAACAAACTACAATTTGCGACGTTAAGTTGTAGACCAGTTGCGTCAACATGACACTCGACTGCGTTTGTATAGCGACAACAATCTACACGATTAGTCTACTTGAGATTCGAAGAGTAGCGCTAGATACCTTACAGATTTCTAACCGATAAATAAATGATTACTGTGGTCATATGATTGATATCGGATCATATGACTGCTGGCCAGACCGAGTGTCTGATTGCACCACATTCTAAGAACACATTGAATTGAAAATGTACACGATAGACTATCTCAAGAATAGTCATTGTATTTTTTGAAGTACTAATTTAATACACTGGGTTTTATTTAACTTTACATTATTGATTCTAATATTTTCTTGAGATCTATATACAACAATAAGGAATTTATTACTAATATAAAGAGTTCATCTTAATTTGCTATGAGAGAGAAGTCTAGAAAGTTGAACCTTCCCTGCCATTGTCGGTTTATAGCATTTTATTATCTTCATGTAAAAGTACCATATCTTTGCAGAGTTTTGGTTCCTCGCTGCATGCCTGGATAATTTCTTCTTGCGAAGTAGCATGCTTTGTTCTACTTTAATGTCTAACAGTATCCGAGGATAACGTGTCTTTTACGCTGTAGGAGAATAAGATTGCCCAGAGTAATATGCTCCGGAGTTTCGAGACTTTCAAGAGCCTGAAAATTTCGCAGATATTCGTACTTTTATGTCCGCGACGAGGACTTACGAGTTTTTAAAATGTTCCACGTTCGTTTCGATACTCTTCCGCTCTTACTGGCCGAAACGTCTTAAGGCGGTACACACAGAATAGTCAAAATTCAAGAATTTTTTTACAAGATCTCAATATACATCCGAATAAAAAATAAAGCGTGATTTCCATCCTTCTGATAATTAATAGAAAATTCTCTATTTTATCCTAAGCCGTCCAAATTCGCTGGAATCGCCTCCCAGCGAAAGTCTAGGCATCTTTAAGCTTCCCCTAATTACAAAACACTTAGGCGCGATTCATTTGTCATGGAAGTTTGCGAGAAGCACTCCCGAGATCCCCAATTCCTCTTTCAGCAAACTAAAATGTCACGTATCGTGCGCCGTTAGCGAAAGGGAATATCGCGCGAAACGCTGAAGGGGACGCAAGAGTTCGTAAAGCGATTATGAGAAAGTTCAGCGCAAATTACATTCCGCCGCATCACCTGAGCTTTGCGGTTAATTGCTTGTTTCCGCAGATATTTCAGACGAAATGATGCGGCATAAACGGAATCGCTGGAAGAAACTCGGCAAACTGGAAACATTTGTCACTTCGCATAATTAATCGTTTGTCATTTTTCCAGAGGTGGGAGGATCGGCACGTCTGTAAATTAAATTGGCTGCCTCTTAATTACAACGCAACAAAATGGCATCGAATAAAAAGCTGGAGTAATTCCAATGGTTGTACGAAATTAGTGATGAATGGTAGGTGAGCATGAAGAAGATATGTAGTATTTGTAGGTTTTTCTTCTTTTAACAGAAAATGTAAACAAAAATTCTATTTGAATGTTGTGCGAAATGTTCAACTCCAAATACTGCCCTAAGTTGGTTCAAGTATCCTCTGATTTACGATCTGAATTTAGTAAAAAGTCGATCGAATTCGACGACCCCATTGCGGTGACCTCCCCTTATCTCTTCATAGCATGGCATCGAAGAAAGTGGTATCCCACGGGTGTTTCCTTCTGACAAATTCGAGGAGTTCACTTGGAAAACACACCAGGATAAAATATCGCGCTACACCGGAGGCAATCTCCTCAAGATTGTACCTATTTGTACAAGTATCTAGCGGTTCACAAGTTTATACACTTTCGGCGCGATTGCACAAATCCAAGGTCACGTCTTCAAGTTCACAAATTATCCATTGCACCACGCGTTGGAATATATTAACCAAAAGTACTTGGACATTTTTAAATGTACTTACACTCGAAAAATGAAGAAGAATTTATTGTTTAAAAGTGTCACACCAATTAACGAGTTGTACTGTCGTTGCACGCGGTTGCTCGCCAAGCAACGTCGAACACGTCCACGCGAAAGCGAAGCTCCGTGGCGATAGCCGGGTAACATTGCCAAAATTCCGTGTCTAATTGCTTCTAGTCGATACCACACCTCGAGCTAGGTGACATGAAACGATAGGGGAACTGCTGAAAGTGGTCGTGGGCGGTCGTCGGCTCTAATCCGGTGACGCGATTCATCTTCCTGCCACGCTGGAACGCGATGCATGTTCGCGACTCGATTGCACGGTATTACGGTCAGTGTTGAGAATTAATTACTCGTCTGCCGTTCCACGAGTGTCTGCAACGAGTCGCGAAAGTATTTGCGAACGTTCGCAATTAAAACTTTATGCCCATTTCTGCGTTTAATCGCGCCGCCATATACGAGATCACCTAGCTCAAGATGATCTCTTCATCTCTTGGTTATCGTGAATCTTTAATCTCATAAAAGGCAACAATTTCTTAAAATTCAGGAAACTCTGCATTTAAATTATTTGTTATTCACGCGACAAATAATGCAGAGAGTTTAGGTGAAAATCGAATGCGAACTAATTTCAAAGAAAATTAGAAGCCACTGTTGGCACCTCGGTAAACGTTCCAAGACAAAGCTTGAAAACACACTACCGGTATGTGAGTACATACTGAAATCTGTATGAACATAGGCGAGACAGTTATAGGGCTGAGCTAAGAACTCAAATATTGAAATTCTGCAAATATCGCGGTACGTGGCGAACGAAGTTATTCACCGACACCTAAGGACACCGAAAATCGTTACATTCAGCTACGACTATCACATGTATTCATGAAACTGTCGGAATCTACTTGCTGCGAAGCAGTTGCACTCAGATTTGCATCTGAAAGTTAATACTTGTTTTCGTACCTGTACTTTTTCTTCGCTATTTACACACCGTGTGTCTACACGTTTAGAGTAGCGTTTGGTTATTCAATTAACCGTTCGTTTTCTCGAAAGCACATGACCGGCGAATAGAATGTCATGACTAATTCACACGCTATAGGACCCGTAAGATTCCGCGCCTCAGTAATTATACCCTTGTAATCAGCGCAATTAATCTGCTCGTCATGGTCGATAGATAGCACCCCTCGAAGATAGGTTATCGTCGACCCATCAGAGACACCCATGGAAATCCCATTTACAATTTCCGATGCGATCACTTTCGTTGATCGTTTCCATGAAAAAATGTTGTTTTCTCCTCTGCGTGTAAAAATAAACTATCGAGTGTTGCATCGAAGTGGAACCCAAAATTCATCGAGTTCTCTTATTGGAATCGAAAACAATGATAATGCGAGTCGAAAGAAGACTGGCAACCAGCAGTGGAAGTTTTGCATGAACGACTACTCTTTCTGCATTTCTGTAAAAAGATTTCTTTTATTACATTATTTTGTGCAGAGCTGGAATATACAAAATATAAAAAATTATTTATCTTCTTTATGACGTTCTTTATTTGTGTCTATGAATATTTTATTCATTTTTCGTTGATACGTGAAAGTACAGAATAATTCGTAAAGGTCTCGTTAACACGTGCCAAGTTTTTTCCACTGGAAATAATCAACAGCTTTCTATTTTTTTTTTTTTTAGCGACGTTGAGACTTTATTGTTGCCTCTAATCTAGATTTAATTAGAGATGAGGCACTTATGTATTGGGAACTAAAGGATTTGTTTGCGGATTATCGCCACGCAGTGACAACGAGGTAGCAAGATCCAACAGTGTTGACCCAAATACTAACTAGTATTATATGATAAGGTTTGTTTTGTCGTGGAACATTCTGTTAGAAGGTATACTTGTGTTTTAATCCTTTCGGTCACATGTCCACTTCACTCAACTGTACAGGAGGGAAAGATATGTGTCTTTCATATTAATTTTTTTGTCGGAGAGAATTTTTTTCGAGAGATTGTATGTTAACTGAATCAGTGATAAGATATCGATTCTGTTAATGCTTTTGAATATTATGTAACGGTTATATCTTGGAGGGGCTGTATGAAATGTAATTGCGTCTGTTACAACGTTTACAATATTGGAAAGAACAGATAGCAGAGACGATACGAGAAAGATAACGAGAGTAAAAGTTGTATTTATACGTTGTTCAATTGTTTCGCTAACTGTATCACACGTTTCATGCATCAAGAACTACGAAATTTGTCAACGGGTCAGTGATTACTGATTACACACGGGATAATTGGAGTTCGATGGGCTTGTTTCGCAATGACTAAGCGATCGAATCGAAGATTAGCGTGCTATTGAAATTAGGGAATTCTCACCACGCGCAGCAAGTGACGATAATTCCTAGTTTGGTGTATTGAAATTCCGAAAACGGACGAGAATTACACAAGTGACGCGTCCAAGTTCTGCATATTCTAAAAACATTCGAACCCGGTAAAATGATGACTCGAACCCCTTCTAATTTCACCCGAAATATAGCATCTGTATTTTCATATTACCAACAAATAAGTGCCATAAATCTATACTGTATGGATCAAATAACAGAAGCGTACAAGAAAGAAGATTACAGGCCACGGCGACGCGAAGAAGATATCAAGAAGTGATAATAAGAACACTCAATAAAAGCAACAATAGAAAATCCCCAAGCTCAGGAGTCGCACAATGAGCGTCCAAGTCAGCGAAATCTTCCAAGCTGGATGAGAATAAGTCAACGATACTTGAAAAATTTAATAAATATATCTAGCAATTGCAATCGCAGACGCAATATCTAAAACCAGTAGCATTTGGATTAAAACACAAGTGTACAATTTAATAATAATTAAGAAGGATCAGGCATCAGAGAAGACACCTCGAAGCGAAGATACGCGCATCGAGCGGAACGAACGACAGAAAATCCCCCGAGCTCGGGAAATTGATTAATCGTCGTACTCTTCTCGTATTCCGAGGTCGTTTTCTCGCGTACCTCCGCGTTTCACGCGGATCTTGCTAAATCATCGCGTTGACCTACAGCACCGAGACGATCAGGGGCACGACAGGTCGGTGGGTTAGGCCCCGAACGGACTGTCAATGAGGTGTCCAGCTGTGCCCATCCTGTGCAAACGCGGGAACAATTATTACCGCGGCCTGTAACAGTGTCCCTCCTCGTGTCCATGTTCCAACACTTTTTACCAGCCCCACCATTCGGCATAAACACACCAGAGCGGTGCACAGTTTGCGGCAGTTTAGTCGCTACTTAACCGTGCTCGTTCGACTGTGTTCGTTACCACGTCGAGCAGCCGTCAGCCACGGCGGATGAAGCTTTCGTCGGTGTCCGTCTTCGCGATCCTCCCGAGGACTCCATGGTCCAGCCGAAAATGGGAGTTGGGTCGACGAAATCCCTCGAAACAGGTGCACCCCGGTTCGGTAATTCGAGATGAACGGGATTAGGAACACGAACACGAACACGAACGGGGACCACTTTTGGCCGAGCTTTCATCTATCTGGACGATCCTTTCCGTGACGAGTCGCGCAATCGATTGTCGTCTACCGTTATCGAGTGACGCCTCCGAAAATCGTCGATGAACTGGAGGGAACCGCAAAGGAAAGACGAGCGCACGTCGACAGAGGGAAGTGAGTTAGAACCGGTGGAGTCAACCTTGATCTGCGGCGTTAACGAGGCGAACAAAGCTCTCCAGGCGTCGGCGTCGAGGAAAAAGCGGGTCAAGGTGTCAAAGACGTTAAGGCAGCCGTCAAGATATCGACAGAAGGTGTTAGCGCGACGATTCCCCTAGGAAAACAAAGTGTCACGCGACACTGGTAACGATCGACCGGGCCCCTATCGACCGCGTGATCGCTAATCGACGATCGGGGATCATCGTGTTTGGACTTTCTCGGAGTCATCGTCACGCGACTACGCTGTCAACGATCAACAGGGAGTACGATCGCGAACAGCGTCGATTCCATCGGCAGTCAATCGCGGAAAGTCGCCGATCGCTCCTCGAACTGGCTGCTGGTCGCATCGAGCAATCCAGTCTCTCGAATCCAACATTCGTGGAATTTTTCTATTTTTCGAAGAAATTATATTCGAAGTGTGTCCAAAGCTTCGGAGTCGAGACTTTTTTCAGCCGAAATTGTGGTCGAGACACTCGAGGTCTAGATGGATTTTTTTCAATCAAGCAACTTCTTTTTGAAAAGATTGAACGATTAGAAGTTTGGAATTCTTGATTGGGAGCAGTGAACTGCTTCGCATGGGTGTTCTGTATTCAAGAAGCTTTTTCTTGAAGAGATTTGAAATTTAACAGTTGAAACTATCGCATAGCTGTCAGTGAACTATTGTGGACACTTGAATACTCAATTTTTGTTGGAGGAATTCGGCAGTTGTTTCGACTCTTAGATAAGGAACGGATTTTGTATAATTCGGAAGTTTCTTTTCGAAGAGATTCGAAGTTCAGAAGTGGAACTTTCGAATAAATAACAGTGAATGGTTATAGCTACTTGGACTGCATATGGATTTTGCATCGTCGAGAAACATCTCGAAGAAATCCAAAGCTCAAAACTTGAGACTTTCGACTAACTAACAGTGGCTTGTTATAATCGCCAGGACTGCATCTATTAACGTACTAAAAATCAATCGAAAGCAGCTCAGTGTTCAGAGGTCCGGTCAACCCTTGTGCTTCGATAAATTCCAAAAAAGACTCTTCCTTCTGATTCAACCATCCACATGATTCTATCTGCTAACATACTACTTCTTCAGCGTGAATCTTGCACAACTTAATTCAAGATTCACTCGACTGGATGCAGTTGACGTTTACTGATACTGTGATAATTAACTGGTAAATTAATCGTTCGGTGAGAGTAGACATAGGCGCTTGCATGGAGTATTTCGGTGGTGTGTTCTCGAAGCAAACGTCGTTTCCGAAGGGACACGATATGGAGATCGATATGAGCGGGAGGACAAACAAATCGACGGAGGAATTAACCAAAAGACGAGTCTCCATCAGCGATCAGATACTCGGAACGGATAATCCCACCTTTGATCACCATCGGCGCATAAGCGCCAGCTCGGAGCATAATTCCGATCAGGGCCGTGGAAAATCTATACTGGCCCACGGGGGCAGTAACCACGGCAGCTCGGAGAACATACATCAGCACAAGTTCGATCTCGAGAACGGTAGGATCAACGGGAACAGGAAGAAGTCGGCGCACAGCCTGACGAGCTCCATCAGGGACAAGATCGAATACTCGGAGGAACTCAAACGGTGAGATTTCGCTCGTTTATTTTCTGGCGAATGGAACGGGGACGTGATCCGAACTGGGCTCGAGTTAGAATGGGTTCGAGCTGAGAATTGAAGCTGTTAAAAAATGAAGAGGAATCATTGCAGTCCTTCAGTCAAGTACTCGCTTACGTTTCAAGTCCTTGATAGTTTGATAGTCGGATTGTAAATATCGTGGATCGATTCGAACAAGGACGATTCGAAACTATTCGAAGTAGGCGATCGCGAATAAAATTGATCGTAACGGATCCAGGAAGCGTCGTGATGTAACGGTGGCGGTTACAAAGCTTGTCATTTCGAATCGCCTTGATAAGATCATAAAGTCTAATGAGATTAAATCAACCGCAGCCCCGAGTTTCCTATGCATTTCATTGTGCACCGCATTCCGTAAAGTATGCGTCGCACGACTTTCCGAATCTTCGACCAAAGTTCTTCTTCCGGTTCCTTCGATCCGCGAAGTCTGCCCGCGTGCATGAAAAACTCGGCCAACTGACATAAATCACGCGACTGAAAAAGACGGTGCACGCGATCCGAAACCCTGCAAAATACGACAACCTCGTCAATTTCTTCGTACTTTCCTAGATCCGCTGCCCTCGAACACTTTGGGAATACGGAATATTCCATAATTCGTCGTATTATTTGTAAATAGTACTAGAGTAGCAGTTTTTTTTAACAGACAAGCATATAACAACAATAGCAACAACAACAATAATAATAATAGCTATATAGAGCAATACATTATGAAGTAATACATTTATTTTCTTTAATTTACTGATATAATATAGTGGTATTTTATCGAAGGAACATAGAATTTCTAGTTACTTCAGTTTAACTAATAGCTTTTCCATTGAATAAACGCTTCCGTGCATAATTTGTCGAGCAAGTACTATAGATAAGTACGTGTTGGTGTAACGTTGTCACATGCTAGGAAAAGAATATCACCAATCGTTATTACGTCGGTTTCCAAAGAGTTCGAAACAATGGCAGTAAATTTGAAGAACATTTACGACCCGTAGCTGACAATCTGTGCGGTCTGTTAAATCATAGTCAATAGGCTACAAATAATATCGTCGAGACCGTAACAGTGTAATTTTAAATGAGGGCCGAGTTGAAAATGTTCAATTTGTTTCGCGTACGTTTCAACGTAACGACCTGCGTTTCGTAAGAATACATTTTTCAGATTTTTTAGAAGGCAAGAATTGTTTACTATATAATATGTTAGACTTTAAATATGAAAGACGTAATTATTGGTAATTTGAGTAACGTGGAACACGTTATTTTCCGTTTTAGATATTGACTTCGGTATGGCTATAATTTACTATAGGGTTTCGTTCCGAAACTTCTCGTTTTACTCGTTGCGCTAGGTATATTGACTTAGCTTCTTCGTTTTCTTACTTCTTCTACCGCCCCGTGGCTCCAACTTTTGAATCAGCACTCCACACTTTGCACAATTTATTTGTATTTCTTATTTCCGAGTTCCCTCGTGCGCGCCTCGTAATATCGGGTCTTGTGATTTCGCGATACTTTCGGCTCCGAATATCTGAAATCTGCGAATATCACAGTACTATTCGATTTTATTCATGTCATCCTTGCGTTTCGATCGAGTAATTGGGGTTAGGTTTGTATAACAGAAATTTAGTTACATCTCGACTATACTTGCATTTTTATTCAAACTTTGGCGATAAAGTTACTCCACGTCGACTTTACTAGTAATAATTATTATTTATTAATATATTCGAGTTAACACTATTTACGTGCCTATACACGGAAAATAAGCGTTCTACGAGAACATTTTATATTCAGGCGTTTTACGTCGTTTTAGGGTCACGTCATAACTGTTGAATGCGTATTAATGTCAAGTGTAATGTGCGAAACAAAAAATATGTTCTTACACGTAAAACGAATCGGTGACTTTGAAAACAGGGGAAAAAATGGTGAGAAGAAATTCCTTTTGGGAACGTACTTGAACGAATATTCGAAGTATGCCTTAGAAACAACACTTTAGCCACGTCATGCACTTTTTCTGTAAGAAAGATGCATGTGGAAAATTGAGAAAACGTTTATACGTGCCACAGTACATTGACTCTAATTAAACGATCATTTTGTAGCACATTAAATTGCACATTAAAAATAATTCAAATAGAGAATATTAAAATTCGACAAGTTCGAGTTAAATCGACCATACTGGTACCTCCATAATTTTGAATATATTTCACGTTCTCAAATATGCGCGAAAACACGATAGGAACAAGTGTATCTGTGTCTTTTTATTAAAAAATTCCACTTTACTGTTTGAAAGTGCAAAGAATAGAGTAGAAGCAACAGGTCAAAGGGAGAGAACGTCTCTGACACTACTTTTCTTTAATGTCCTTTTCAGGTCGTGGTTGTACCTATTTTGCACGCGATGCCACGGACGGGATGACACACCATCGTGGGAGCCACCCGGCTGGAAAAGAGCCTGTCCACAGCCATTTTGTCCCAGCTACAGAAAATTCGCCAGGCTTTTGTGCCTCTTCCTGTTAGGGTTGTTACTCTGGGGTATCGTCTATTGCGTGATAGGCAACGACGCAGCCCCTGGTGGCCAGCTCTTCGGTCTAGCTGCTCTCTGCCTCGCGGCGCACTTTGGAGGATGGCTGTTCTCCTTGACCACCCTTCCTGCCCTAATCGGCATGCTGATCACCGGCATTATACTTCAGAACGTTGGTCTGGTCAACATCGAGGGCAACTACACCGTCGTCATCTCCAATCTCCGGTGAGTCCTTTTCTTACTTCGTTTCTATTCTTAGTTAAAATAAGTCAATAAATGAAATGCTATTCAATCTCGTCAATGAACATTACAATAACTATTGAAATTTACATAGATATTGTGATTTCTCCATATAACATATCCATTTAACATAAAATCTCATGTTCAATCAACCTAGTAGGACGTTCCGTGATATTAACTGTTATAAATTTGTTAATTTTGAAATGTCCTCGATAAAATTTAGTACAAATATTCCGAAAACCTTAAACACCAAGAATATTACCAAGAACGACTGGAGACGCCGCGAAAAAAGAAAGAAATTTTTGGATCGACGGTGAATTAGGTTAATGCGATGCTCCCTAATATTATCGATTGATACGACGGGAGAATTTATATGTATCATTCAGAGTTATAATTTACAAGTGTCAGGCATTGCGGTGGAATGTTTCTACTTGGTTGAACGACTTTGTTGACCCAAGCGAGCTAAGGGGTTAATTATTATGCTGTTGCGCGTGACTACAGTTAGACTTAACTGGGCACGTGATTAAAATCATGTGCTCTTACGCACACATTACTTCTCAGACTGAATTTGTAAATGGAACTTCATCATTTCCTAATTGAAATTTATTCCTCGGCGTCATGTGATGATAGTTATTTGTCATCGTCACGTGTGTTTCGCCGGGTGGAGCTGTTAGTATGGTTTCCGTTTCGGAAGTGGTTCGAATCGTGATCGATGCATCCAACGACTTCATCGTGGATTAAAGTGGGAACCGTTGATGGGCTTTTAACATTTTCCGTATAGAGCGACCTTTTTCGAAAGCTATAACGCGTAAAGGGTAGTTTTTATCGTAATACTTGCACCCCTTTCGAGTGATTATTATTATTATCGTTCATAAAATTCGATTTATTTTGTCGGAGCGATCTTCATTTCCATAGATGACAATAAAATGAACAAAAGACACCATAATTAAATTATTAGAAGGAAAGACGGTTTAGAATTTTTTAAATATTTCATCACAGAAACGTAATAATTCTCTTCCACTTCAAAATTAGAAATGTAGAATGTTAGTGTTATTGATTGAAATGAAACTTGTATCGAAAAAATAAATCGAATTTTATGAACGATAATAAGAAACTTCATAGGGTCGGTGAAGGTTGGCCTATTGAAGGAATTGATAGATGGAAAAAGTCCATCGGATGAGAATATGAGGGAAACTGGATGAAACTCGCTGGTACGCAGCATCCCGAGATAAGATATAATAGAGAGATGTTCGTTCGTCAGCTATTTCGTTAGGATATGATAGATCACGCTTGGAGAATATCGGAGTTTTAAATCACAGCGTTATGTGCACTTCATCCCTCTCTCGTGAGAAATAAAAGGTATTGTTTTTGCTCGTTTGGAACTCAGACAACTGTTGAAAGTTCCCCTATAGTCGGGAGAGTATAGATAATTCACTCTGTAATGTAAATACATTATACAATAATTTTTCCTAAAATGTACTATTCTAGGTTAAAGTATTTCGCCCCTTCACGAAATTATACACTTCACCCACCCTTTCGGCGAACGTAAAAAAAATGAAATTCGTCAACCTTAAAATAAATGATTCATGAAATGTTTTGGTCTGGGATTCTTCGTTAAAATGAAATATAGCGCTCGTTTCCCCTTAATTTCCTTTCACATTATTTTATTTGGCTTTTCAGCTTCCCATTTATGTGGTCCCTTTTAGGGTCCCGAGGATCTAGAGGTTTCCTCGGAGTACTCCCACAGGGAATATAAATATTAGAACCGTTTGTTTGCTGCTTCTTCTTGGGTAACGCGGTTTTAGGGATTTGGGGCTTTTTGCTAACGGGAGGGTATCATCAGTTTTATGTCATTCTTAGCGAACTGAAAACGAATTGCCTCGCACACAACTTTTTGCTCGCGTACAACGTTCTCATCCAAGTTAAGAGGTAATACTCTTTAATTAGAAAGAAAAACTGTTGCTTTTTGTAATTACAAAACTGCCATGGACTACTTGTATCCTCGATACTTCTACGTTATTATTTTTCGAGAGTCAAGGATCGGAAGTAGCAACTTAATTTTTTTATATTCTGGTAGAATTCTTATCAATATTTTCTTTCGTTGCTTTAATGTTTGAACGTTCCACATATGAATCTTGTCATTTCCGTTGACCATTGCGTGGCAGACAATTATAATTTCCACTCACGCATCAGCCATGGAAAGTGTCGGTGACAAACAGTGGAAGGTTCCTAGAAAGTCCTCGAAGCAACGATCGGTTCATCGCGATCATAAGGTGACCGTTTTTAATGTCGAGGACAATCACTAACGATTCGTCGTAGTCGCAGACGGTAATGCTCGTTCAGCATAGTAATCGCGGTTTAAGGAGTAGAAAATTCTAGCCGTAACCTCCGTGGGAGTTTCAATTGAGCTGTTTATCAAAATGTTTAACTTTTTCAAAAGTTGTATATCAATCCGATATTATTTCAACCACTTCACCATGACAATTTTTATTTTGCCAGAATTCCTAAAATTACTAAATACGTCTAATCGAAACTTTGCGTTATTAGACAGCTTACATCATATACCAGATCCGTTGTGGTCTTTATTTGTACGTATTAGGCAAGCGTCCGTTGCGCGAGTTTCACAATAATGCGGTTGGAAGTCTTTGAAATCGTTCCAAGTACATATATTACTCATTGCGACGCTTTCCGTGCCAGGCTTCGCTGAAAAAAGACTTTAATAAGTTAATTACGAGACGAACGGAAAGTTAATTAGTCTGGCCGTTCAAGCACCGGCGCGACAAAGCGTTCGTGAACTGTTTCACTGTTCGCAATTTCTGAGCAACGCTGCGCACACAACGCTGACCAAACTGTCGGTTTAATCCGTGGAGCTTGACAATTCGCTCGAACTCGCATGTTAGCCTCGATATAATAACAGCACTATGGTACGCGGCGTCATTAAAGCTGCTCTAATAATGCACGATACCTGCTGTAAACGCGGCCGTGTGTACTCTATTATAAGCGTTTACGCGGAATGAACCTCGAACAATCCGTGCCGCCACCCACACCGAAAGCCCAACGAGGAAACAGCTGGAAATGGTTCTTCTTAACGAAACTACGGCATTCGTATGAATTGTGATTATCTTAATGCGTTGGGAACTTTGTTTTGTAATGCGGAAATAACGAGCAAAACTTTCGCTGGAACGAGTTTTGTATCTTCGATGTAGCGCCATTTTCTGCGAATTCTGCAGTTTTTAATGTCTTCTAGGTCAAACGACGGATGGGTATACCCAGAATAATAATAGTATTACTGGGGATTGGATGGAATTTTAAATAACAGGGAGGATATGGTTGGAATCGGTGATTGCGATGATATGATATAAGTATTAACTGTTCATTAAAATTACATTAATGAAAGAAGAACACACTTGATTTGACAAAGAAACAAAGAAACATGCGTTCCACTTCGTCGTTTCAAATATGTATTGAAAGTTAACAAGATTTATTGCCTGTTACAAGAATATACTTAATAAATGGAACATTATGTATGAAGCACACATTTTTCCCCTCCGAGGTACGTTATCTTAACATTAAATGTAAATTTGGTCGCTTGTCTTCCCTAAAATACGGCACGTCAAGGGGAAGAATTTACATCCTCCTCCTCGTGTGATTTAATGATTATAAATCATCGTTCACGCTCTTGCTGATATTGATCTATACGTTATGTATACGTGTATACAGCTGTGCACGATTCGATATTATATTTGAAACACACAACTCGATTGATATTTCAAAAATATATTTCTAATAAATTGTACGATAGGAAATGCTTGGAAAGATTTTCGAATTAAAGCCGAATGCCAGGTATTTCATCCCTCAAATATGACTAATTTCTATTAAATATATAAAAATCAATTATGGACGAATAAATTTCTCCTGATTAATTTCACTCGATATTCGAAAAACGACGCATAAATCTGGACATATAGTTGACAGTTTCGCCGTGCATCAGTTGTAAATGTAGTAATTTTTCATTTATTACGGAAGGAACGGAACGCGCGGATACCAGGCGGAAGGGAATTGTACAGAAAATATTGTACTCTGCACATTTTAATGTACAAATATGACGATGCTCTCGTTCCGCGATTCATGAAATATTAGCCGTCAAGAACGGAGAATTTATGTCTTTGACGCATGGTATTCGTATATCACTTCCCATTGGTGTATCGGTGCGCGAGTTTCAGCAGAGAAGTGTTGCATTACGCGTTCCTGTACAGGGTGTCCCTGTAATCGAAATCTAACGAAAAAGATGCTGATTCTTCTTGCAAAAATAGACTCAAGATTTTTATAACACTTTTTATATAGACCTGGAAAAAATATACTTATATTATACTTCGTTTATTTTCTAAAGAACACATCACTTAAGTCTAAAAAAAGAAACATTATATAATAGAATCACTGCCTACGAAATCTAAGAAACCCCGATGATAATATGTATACACATTCTCAAAACAGAATTTTTATCGTTCATTCGTGATTTCTTCCTGCACGAAGAATTGTTCATTTCCTGGTTGTACTACTGGAGCACCCTGTATGTATGCTGAAACCGAACTGTGCCCGACTCCCAGCAATGATATTCCCATCGATATTCACGTAACTATTCTCGAACTCGCGAAAGTTACGAGTGGTTGGAAACGTAACAAGAATCCAGAATGCTGACAATGGAAATGGGCGTGGTCAGGGATAAAAAATTGAAGTGGTTCGCATTATCGAGCAAAGTCGATTCGAAAACGTATTGAAAATTCCGGGGGCTACCGAAACCATCGATGAAATAATCATTTTCCTTAGCGTTTCTCCTCGAAGGAGAATAACTGTATAACCATAACTCAACAAGTACATCCAGACACTAGGTATAGTAGGAGTAACGCCATGTATAGAAGGAATACAAGTAACGTGTGGAAGGAAGATATTTCTTGGTGATTCGAACAATTTATTCAAATTGAAAG